TTTCCAGCTCTTCCTTTAACAACTCCAGTTTCAGAAATCCCCTTGGAAATGTTCAATGTCAGTTTGAAAACCCTCAGTATTCAAAATCAAGTCTGTTCAACTGTTCATTCTTTCCTTCTCTTCCCAGCATTTTCTATGTATTATTTCCACAAATAATATGGAGACTGAATTCTCTCTGAAAGAATCCATCCTAAAATCACCACAAAGAAATAGAAGCATTACCTAACTTAAGACTCCTCTCCTTACTGAAGAAGCTGGAAATACAAGCACATTTTCTTCCAGCATTCTACCTCAAATGCCATTTTTACAACATTCACCACCATGTACTCCAGTTTTGTATCAGTCACTCATGACATTGTCTCCCTAATGCCAGTTTCTGAAAAACCTTAAGGAACATTTAGTAAATGAACAAATTGTTAACTACTGTACCACTTCCCAGATGCCCAAGTTATACTTTATTTGAATATTCCTGACGGCAAGCTGTCTTCTAAAGTACCTTGCCAGGATAGACTTGATAGCTTTTTATAATCTGAGGCACTAGGTGAGAGGGATGTGTGATACTCCAACTGATGAATCGAATGAACTACAGGTAATGTTATCTAAAACATTTCCTCGAGGAACAAAATTGGGTGTTTAAGATTTCTTGCACAAATTTGATTCAGCTATCAAGTAAGTGGCAGGTATCAAATGTCTTGGAATAGATGAAGTTATTTTCATTATTATTTTCAATAGCTGTATTTTCAATTATATTGTTTATATGCATTATGTTATCTATAATCTTCAAAGCAATGAATACAGATAAAAGAAAAGCTGTTAAGGCCCCATATCTAATTAACATTTAAGTGTACAATGAAAGGTATCTTCAGTTTTTCCTAAACTGAATGTTAACAGTTTTCTTAATCTGCAACAATGGTAACTTGAAAGAATGAGTGTCTTCAGTTAGTGTCAAGTACTAGATGTGATTCAAGTGAAATACAGATCTTAATTTACTCCTGTTTTTGAAACAATCCCTCCTAGACCAACCTTATGTTAATGTCCTTAAATGGGAATAGTTCAAATAGTTTATTCATGTTCAATTGTTTTTAGTGATTGAGCCAAGCTAAAACAGCTGATAACAGTCAATTAGGTGATAATCATGGAAAACAGTGCCTTGGCCCCAGTGGGAATTAGTGCTAAAATTTCAGGCAAGCCACAGACTAGATTCTGGGTACCCAAATTCCAAAAGAACAATGATCTAGTTCCAGGAGACAGTACATGTGGATGGAGAATGAACAAAATGGCAAGAAAGCCTTTTCTTTCCCAGTGGAAAGGCCTGTTCTTTTATGGTATTTTCATCAGATCCTAATGTGCTCATTATCAATGATTATTACTGGAGAGCAGGACTATAGGAGGAGGACAGGGGACTTTTACTTTTCATTTACTCTGTTCTGCTTGGGGTTTTTTGCCACATGCAAGAGTTATTTTACAAATGGAAAAGTGTTCAGCATCTCCAAATTGCCCAACATTGTAGCAAAAGAAGACATAGTTCTTTCAGAAAACGATATCCATCCATGCCACCAAACATATAGGAACTACTGAAAATCTCCCCAGTGGTTTATTTTTCTAAGAGGATACTCTGCTGGTCTTCGTCCAGAATTACTGAGACTATATGTATGCAATCCAATGCTAGTGCTTGGGAGATCAAAGAGAAGAGATAGGTAAACAAACTACTATGTACCATGACAAGCACAGGACATACATTTTTCTAATACTTGGAAAAGTTACTGTTATCCCATTTGCAGATGGGAAACCTAATGCTCAGCAAAGGAAAGCAACTTGTGCCAGAGTTAGAATTCAAATCTGGGTCTGTTGGACTCCCTAGCCATACTTTTTCCACTATCATTTTTTCTAGAAAAAGGTCAAGACCAGAGGGCAATGATAGTGAATGGTTTAGAGAAATTATAAAGATCACCTATTGTTTATTTCTTGTTTGTCTATGACAGCATTACAGTTTGTGCTACTTCCATTAAAGATTACAAACGTATCTGCAGTTAACATTTGCTTAGCTATCCTAAAACAAGAGTGCCAGTGTTATGGTTCAACATGTCTATCTTCATACAGGGTACTCACTAAACCACCTCAAAACGTGGAAGAAACCAGCACTCAGTTTCCTGTTTTTATCAAATATGTTCCTCGCCTTCTATACTGGTTTAGTTCATCAACGAGGTACTCTTGATGTCATGACTCATATTCAAGAACTCTGTTACAATAATCCCAATATATCTTCAGCCTCAGTGTTTATAATGATGCCTTGCCACTCTACTCCTTATTATAGGTAATACAAATTGTTCCACTATATGCTATTAAGAAAATGAAACTGACTACTTAAATTCCTCAGATTCCTGAGTTTAAATTAACTGACCACTGATCAAGTGATCTCTTTTCATATCAGTTGTCTCACCTATAAAAATTAGTTAATTCAGTTAGATGATATCCTAATGCTTGAATTAAGTGTTTCTGAGAAATATAACACTAAAATTGCCTTAATTTTGCAGGACAGTTTAAAAGATATCCATTTGGTCCTATGCTTCTGTTCTAAGCTGCATTCATTACCAAATGCCCAATAATGGTACAAGAGTAAACTGCTTTCTTTTAAAAAGTTATACACCTACTTAACCTGGCTTTAAACAATCTCATGTTAATTTTCCATGTGCATAGTCAACTAAATATCAAAGTTGATATCATTTTAAGGTAACTTAACACTTTTGCAATACTCTGCTTAACTGAATCATCAATGCCGGATCATTGATACACAATTTGGAAAGTTGGGATTGGCTAACAAAAGCCACCAGTTTGATTTAAGACCCCAAGTATCCCTTCAACTTGAGGCTCACCTACTATATAAAAAAGACCAGAGCTGAGAGTGGGATATTCACTATCTCTCCATGCTCATGATAGCAGTAATGCTGCAGACAACAGGAATTCTAAAGGCACCAAGATGCTTTTCATACATGGTTGTAGCAGTTGAGGTCTTAGGCTTTGAATAGTTCACCAAGTTCTTATCTTACATTTTTCAAACTGCACAATGGAGCAAAAAATGTCTAATGCCTACTTTGGAGTAGAAGGCTGGCAACTTTTTCTCAGGTGTTTGTTTTCTCCCTGAAGCGGGATTTTCATCTCCTAAATTATAAAAGTCCATGAAGTGTTAGGTCTTGTGTAAATTTACTTGTATGCATTTCATAGATAACAAAAACCTCTATCACATAGTTATTTTTCCTGAGGCTAAGTTATAAACATGGCTTTTGCATAGTGCAAGCAACTGGCTTAAGTTGTCCTAATTCATCAATCCATCTTTTTTACATGCACTCTAGTCTTTCTATGCCACAATAAAACCATTACTTATTTGGATTTTAATCAGTGAACATATGTTGCTCGGTTACTAAAGCTTATTTAAATAAATCTAAAACAAACAAAAAACAAAAACCACACAGGAAAAAACTTATTTAAAGGATGTGATCCATCCCCTTTCAGAGCAGAAAGGGAAGAAAGCGAGAATCCTTTGTGGTTCATGAAATTTTCTACCTTGCCAATTAAGCCTATGGGGAATTACTCTTATTAACAAGTAACCTACCTGGTCCCAAAGGCCCCTTCCATTCTTGCAAGAGCATACTGTTACAGAAGATGGAGTCTCCCACACTACTTACTATCCCACCTTGAAGTGACATTTCATGCTTTAGTTTGGACTTGAAGGTTATGCTGCTGCGACAACAAGCAACATGGTGTAAGAATCATACTGTCCATCTCTGAGAAAACTACATTAAAGGCTTGCTTCTTCACCTCAATTGGAACCCATTTAAGATTCAGATTTCACATTTTCTTATGTGAACATGATGGATTTTAAGAGTACTTTGAAAAAAAAAATTTTTATTACTTCTTGTAACTTTTAACTTAACTTTCTCTTCACAGCCATGTCCACTACCCACTTCCAATGAGATTTCTCCAATGTCCCCCAGACCTGACTGGAAAAAGTCAGTATCTTGATGAAGCAGATATATTTTATCTAAATCCCTTAAACTGGCTTTATAGAGAGTTTCACAATGATTCAACACTGCCTACTCACTTGATCATCTTCAGTATTTTAGAGGAGGTAAGGAAGCATGAAAAAAGGGAAAACTTACTATTTATATGTCGCCTCAAGTTTAGCACTCAAGAAAATAGACAACATAACTTTTTTAAGGTCCCTTCCAACACCCATATATTTTTTTAAATGTTTTACTTATTTTTGGGAGAGCATGAGCAGAGGAGGGGCAAACAGAGGGGGACAAAGGATGTGAAGTGGGCTTTGCACTGACAGCAGCAAGCTGATGAGGGGCTCAAACTCAAACCGTGAGATCATGACACTCAATCAACTGAGCCATGCAGGCACCCCGCCATCCCCCATATTTTGTAATTCGTCTTTTCCCTGGTCAAAATCCGTCCCAGTTCTATAACTATCAAGATACATACGTTACTTAACAAGTTAATTCTTTTATTAAGGAACTATATTGTTTTATTAAGAAAAAAGTGGTAGAGACGCAAATGAGGTCATTCTAAAATTCTTGAAACAGTGCTCAGCAAAATGTAGCCTTTATTTACTTAAACATTTATTTACTTCTAGGAAATAAGTGCTTTCCTAATTTCAAGCAGCTACGAGAGAACTGCTGTGTTCTTCCACACTCACTTGCCAGAAGGTCGAACTGGAAGTCACATATATGTCTATGAACGGAAATTAAAAAGGAAACTCAACAGAAGCTGAAATTCTCAACTGTGTTTAAATCTTTTCTAGAGAAACAGACATTGCTGGGTAGACATATTCAGATGCTGCATAAATACTCCTGTAAATACTGGGTAAAATTTATGAACTAGCAAAACACCACTGAACTGATTTACCAAATATCACTACTGAGGAAATGTATGAAAAATATCACAAAGTATAAAATCATATATTAATACAAATGCCAGATTTTAAATAAAGACCTTTAGTTTTCCTCATGGTGTAGTTTTATTGTTTCTTCCACAATATTCAGATGTGCAAGAAATTTCACAAGAGAACAAGTCAGCAAGCTCATAAGAAGGCAGCAAATTCTTCACAAGTCAACGGGCTCTTGAACCCACAAAAAGACAAGAAGCAAGTGTAAAATTATAAAGTGTTAAAGATGAAATTCCATCACAAGGTACTTTTTCAAGCTCTACTGCAAATTTAACACAAATATCAGTGTTAATTACACTTTGTCATAGGATTTGAGCTTGCTTTAAGCTCATACACTGAAAGGAAGACTCATTTCATGCACAAAATCTGTTGCATGCCTGGCTTCCTTGAAACTACAGTTGAACATTTCCAGTGCCAAAAAAATTTCAGCAAAACTAAACTACAGGAAAATGCAAGTTAGTAAGCTTCTGCTTGATGCTTCTGAGTAATAATGTAAAGTCATCAAACTGATACTTAGAAATGACAGAAAGACATTATCTTGATAATTTCATTTTAGTTTCAATACCAAACATTGTAGATACCATCCATGTTTCTGTTACCATTTTCTAATTTAACTGAATCATGACAATCAATATTTAGGGTCAAAAGGTAACTGCCCCAATTCTATTTCAAGATTTGTCATGTATCTTCCATTAGTGCGACCATATTTATGCCATTTACCTTCCCTTTTATAAGGTTGTGGCTGAGGGTGCTTCTGCTCTTGTTTTCGATGCCTGGAGTTTTCAATATTTACCATACGTTGCTTTTTATCTGGTCGACTGAAAGCAGTAAACACATTTTTCATCTATGTTAGAGTTAAATTTAAACAAGAAACAATTTTAATGTTTTTCTCCATTAATTATCTGAACACTCTGAAAAAGGATGTTAAATTAACCTGAAGTATAATCCTAATACAACCATACCAAAAAGATTCAGTATTATACTTTTATCCTACAGACAGAAAAAACAGACAAACATAACTGTAGTGGCAACAAAGGGAAAATACTCAACAAATAAATAGAAATGTGACAATAAAATAATGAGATGTGTTTCCATTATTTTTCCTCTCCTGCAAAACCAATCCCTCCCCATTGGCTTCACCCCTCAGCAGGAATATGTATACATTTCTTACAAACAAAAGAAAGTCTTTTTTTTTTTTCCTCAAACTCCATAATCAGGCTTCTTCACTAAAGAATCAGGCTTCTTCACTACCTCACTAAAACAGTCCATAATGCCATTCATGGCCACCCAATTCCCCAACCAAGAAATCCAGTCTCTTTTGTTTAATGTTTAAAGCATTTGACACACGTTTGTATATTCCTTTCACTTGAGATGATCTTTCAATTTTCATGATGCTATTCTATGGTCTTCTTCTCAGCCTTCATTCTCCACAACCCCTTACGTGTTAGTGTTCCCCAAGATTCTGATAAACACCCCCAGCCTAGACTATCTATATGCACACAGAATTTGGACTAGAGTCATGTATCTAATGGCCAACTAATTTTTTCCATGTGACTGTCAATAGGTACCTCCAAGCCCAATTCTCAATTGCAATTCCCCTTACTCAAAATGCCCTCGCATTCCTTACCTTAGTGATGCCACTATCCAACTAGTGATCCAACCCAGAAATCTGGAAGAAATGTTATTTTCTACCTCTCTTTCACAAGAAATACCACCAATTTTTCTTCTTATATATTATTCAAATCTGTCTCTCTCCCACTCATACTATTAACCTAGTTAATCACCAGCTCATGTCTGTACTTTTTCAAAGACCACCTACCAGCTTCACTCTTTCCAACTAATCCTCCAGGCTATTGCCAATGATCCAAAATGCAATGAAGCAACAAGTCTTTTAGCATAAAATGAAGTCCTTCTGATCTTCACAAAAGATCTGTATCTTTTCATACCCCAGCACTACCTTGCCTCCTTAAAAGGACATGTCTTCACATCTCCAAATGTGTGCAAATGAAGTTCTCTTTGAATAGAATGTCCTACTCTATCTGCTTGACAAATTCTCATTTCTCCTTCAAAAACCAGTTTAAAGAAGTTCAGTTCAAAGACCACCTCACTCATGAAGCCTCCCAAAACATCTCCAGGTTGAGGCCACCACATACAATATCTCCATTCCTCACTTCATTTCTTACATTTACCTAACTCTCCAAAAGCTTGTGAGCTCCTTGATGGCAAGAGTTTTTCATGTTTCATCAGGGCAGCCTCACACTGTTTTGCTCATTTAGGCACTAGATATTTAATGACTAAAGATACCAGAATCAGTCTCATTATTTTATAGACACATTACATTTATTCAGAAAGATAATATATAACTATCTTAAAGATAAAAAAATAAAGCTAACATTTGAAGATTAGGAGTTTCAGGTTACAGAATATAAAGCTAATAAGCAATGAATAGTTTTATTTAGAAATTATGCATATAAGCCACACATATTATAACCTGTAGCTTGCTAAGTTTGCCTCTACTTTTATCAAAGATAATTTTGTACTAACTATTAAGTATCATAATTTAGTTGGCAAGTGGAATTAGAGAAGTAAGTGGGTCAATGCAAACTGTTACACACGAGTTCTTCCAATTTCAGAGTGAAATCTGAATTTACTCACCCAAAGTGAGTAAAAAAATAAAAGATTAAAAGAAAATAATTTCACTTAATTACCTTTTCATATAAACCATAATGAAAAGAAACAAGATAGGCTAAAATAGGATCTTTTTTCCTTAACATATTTTTAAGGCAGAAATTAAACCATTTGCTCGAGTCAAAGTGATCATATGAAATTTTCAGTTTGTAATAGCTATTAAAATTTTATCTTTCCATTTAATTTATTCTAAATTCTCTAGCAATAAAGTACTTTTACAAATAACACTTTTTTTTCTTTACAAAAAGTACTTTATGGATAGTAACATTCCAAGATGTTAAAATGATAAAAATGCTACCCAATCTATAAATGTTAAAAACTATTATAATAACATGGTGCTATGTAAACCGACCTGGGTCCATATGGAGGGGAAAGAGTGTGACCAAAGAAGTGTCTATATATATATCCATCCAACTTCTCAAACACTCCATCATTATCTACTTGATATTCCTTCATGTCTTTAAGATAATCTTTAACATCATTAACAAAGTCTGTGAAGAGCTTCTGATCATGTATAAAGACACCATTTAGGAAAAACTTATTGATGAACTGATCAAGTTCTTTCCAGTGATGAAAACTATCCAGTTTTTCTAATAAATACCTTTCAATTAACTGTCTAAATTCATCTATCCTTACAGGATTCAACACTTTCATATTAAAAAGGTTAATGGATTCCTGTTGAGCACATTCAAATACACCAGAACAAGACTTTCTGAAAGAATCAAAATTTGCACTACAGTCATGCTCAGAACTGCATTTCTGTGATTTTGTATTTTTTCTAAATTCTTCAAAGTGAATTGGTTTTTCTTTCCTTCCCTCTCTTTGCATAGTAGGGCCTCTATTATTCTGGTTTTGTGTACGTGACTTATACTGTGGGTGTAAATATTCACTAAAGACTGTCGGTTTTTTAGCTGCTTCTTCTTTTGTTGCACCAAATCTTTTATTGCCCTTTTCATCAAAGATATTCTTGGTGGTATCTTTGAAATGCCTGAAAGTGGATTTAACTGAATCTGAAAACTTTTTCAGATTTTCTTTCACAGCTTCTTTAGCTTGTTTAATTTTTTCTTTATGATGTCTCACAAACTCCTTGGTAGAATTCTTCATGGCATCAAATGTTTCCTTAACTGAACCCAAAAATGTTTCCTTTGACTTATTTTTAGCCCTGTGGTTTCCTCTGCTCCCTTTCTTTTTTCCATCAGTTTCTTGTTTTACATTTTGATCTTTTGCCTCAATATACAGCCTTTCCCACAAATCAGAACGCTGCTGTTCAAAGTTTAGCTTCTGCTCCAGCTCAGTGAGTCTTTCCCGTAAGATTTCTATTTCCTTTTTTTCAGTCAATACATTCGGAGAGTCTGGGTTGCCATATGATTCACTAGAGCTTAACTGCTGGAGTTCCACCTTTAAAGCCATGGTTATCAGTCGTTCTCTCTCCAGTTCCTTCCTTAGCATCTTTGCTTCTGCCAAAAGAGTTTCCCTTTGATTAAGGAAGCTGTGTGTCTTCAGCTTTTCTTCTTCCAGATGCTGCTTAAGTTTCTGATTTTCTGTAACTAATTCAGTACCCGTCCCTTTATCTTCCAATAGCCTAATCTGTTCTCTTAGTTTCCTTAACTCTTCCTGTAATGAAGATAAGGCTTCTTCTTCCTTCTCCAGAGATATTCTTAAGTACTGATTTTCTGTATCAAGGTTCTTTTTCTGAGATTCAAAGGCCACCTTCTCTTCTTCAGTAAGGGCCCAACATCTTGCAAGGTTTTCCTTCAATGACTAAATTTTTTTGAAAGAGAAGAAAGAAAAATGTCAAATGCCTTATTTAAAAGCTCAATTTAAATCTGTAAGATGAAATCATATATAACCAATACTCATAAATTTTTAGTATCTATTTTTTTTAAGATTTTTTTTTTAAGTAATCTCCACACCCAATGTGGGGCTCAAACTCACAACCAAGATCAAGATCCAAGAACAAAGATCACTCTACCGACTGAGCCAGCCAGGAGCCCCACGTGTCTATTTCTGCAGACTACCCTTTATGCAGTATATGTATCTGTAGTGTATATGTATGTATTTCAAGATGTAAAAATAAAAAGGTTCATATGGAAGAAAATGCACAGCACAGAGCTACATCAAAATAATAACATAATGGGGCCCCTGGGTGGTTCAGTGTGCAAGTGACCAATCCTTGATCTCAGCTCAGGTCTTGATCTTGGAATCATGAGTTCAAGCTTCACACTGGGCTCCATGCTGGGGTGTAGAGCCTACTTAAAAAAAAATTTTTTTTAATTTTTATTTAGTTTTGAGACAGAGAGAGACAGAGCATGAATGGGGAAGGGTCAGAGAGAGCGGGAGACACAGAATCTGACGCAGGCTCCAGGCTCCGAGCTGTCAGCAAAGAGCCCGACAGGGGGCTTGAACTCATGGACCATGAGATCATGACCTGAGCTGAAGTCGGAAGCTCAACTGACTGAGCCACCCAGGCGCCCCAGGGGTGTAGAGCCTACTTAAAAAATATATATAAAATGAAATGTTTCATTAAAAATAAAAAAACAGCAACAACAACAACACAGCATGTTGGAAGAATTTAAAGACCGGAAAAAAATTAGCTATAGCCTAGTTTATCCCTAGTACGATTTCTAAAATAGAACTAGGAGTACCTCTGATTAGTGTTTATTAGTGATTACTATTTCCCATAATCATATTAAAGCCTTAATGGTTTCTAGGTCCACTTACAAGTTAGAAGAAAAGGAGACAGGTCTTCTATCTTTTGACTACAGGACTCTAATCTCTCCTGAGAAGTCTCCTAAAGAGAATTTAGGCAGGACTAGAGGCTTCTCGGACCCTTAAGTGAAAATAATTTTTTATAAAAATAAAATTATAGCTAGAAGTCAGCACCCTTGATAGAGAAAAAAAAACATGTTCAATTAGGTTTACAGAATTTTGCTGCATTTCAAAGTAGCCTTGAATGATCTTTCTTTCAAGATGTTATTAGTAATAAACTTTCACCAAAACAGCAAGAAACTAAACAATATGCTTAAACAAGTTAATTGTTATAGCATTATCTAATCAGTTAGAGTATCTTATGCATAAATCAGCAAATGACACTTAAATTTTACTTAATTTACCACAGACATTATGGTTATTCATTTGAATCAGACAAAAAAAAAAAAAAATCTGATATACAAGAAACAAAAAAAAAGTCCTTTAAGAGAATGACAGGGGGCAGCTGGGTGGCTCAGTCGGTTGGGTGTCTGACTTCGGCTCAGGTCATGATCTCACAGCTTTTGAGTTCGAGCCCCACATTGGGCTCTGTGCTGACAGCTCAGAGCCTGGAGCCTGCTTCGGATTCTGTGTCTCCCTGTCTCTCCCTGCCCCTCCCCTGCTCGCACTCTCTCTCAAAAAAATAAACATTAAAAAATTTTTTTTAAAAAGAAAGAGAGAGAGAGAGAGAGAGAGAGAGAGAGAGAGAGAGAGAGAATGACAATATTGGGGTGCCTGGGTGGCTCAGTCGGTTAAGCGTCCGACTTCAGCTCAGGTCATGATCTCACAGTCCATGGGTTTGAGCCCCGCATAGGACTCTGTGTTGATAGCTCAGAGCCTGGAGCCTGCTTCGAATTCTGTGTCTCCCTTTATCTCTCTGTCCCACTCACACTCTGTCACTCTCTGTCTCTCAAAAATGAATAAATGTTTAAAAAAAATTTTTTTAATAAAAAAATTAGAATGACAGTATTTCCACTTGAAAGATAACCATCTGAAATGGATGGTTCACTGTCTTCAGTCTTCAAAGAATAAATTAAAATTTAAAATTTCATTATCATCATTTTATCTGCTCTCCAAATGAGAGAGAAAACAAGTTTCATGTATGCAATGGAAGTGGACCACAGGGTAGTACAGAGTAATGTAGCATTATCTTTAAATGCAAAAGCATAAGGGGCCACAGAATGACTGCAGGGTATATTCTGCATTCAGTAAACTCCATAGTCTTGAATTAAGTGCCTGATAAGCAAATCCAGGGGCAGGTCTCCCATGAAGATCTTCAAAGCCACATTTAACAGCTGGAGATAAGAGATCTGCAAGAACTGACTCAGTGAAGATCTATGCAGGGTCAGTCTCCTAAAAGTCAACATCATCCTATGGAACCAGAAACCACGATGGTAAAGAAGAAAATGGCTACTCTTTTTACAACATCCTTTGATCCAGGTAGGAAAAACTACACTATTAACAAATAACTTGAGGGGCGCCTGGGTGGCGCAGTCGGTTAAGCGTCCGACTTCAGCCAGGTCACGATCTCGCACTCCGTGAGTTCGAGCCCCGCGTCGGGCTCTGGGCTGATGGCTCAGAGCCTGGAGCCTGTTTCCGATTCTGTGTCTCCCTCTCTCTCTGCCCCTCCCCCGTTCATGCTCTGTCTCTCTCTGTCCCAAAAATAAATAAACGTTGAAAAAAAAAATTTAAAAAAAAAAAAACAAAAAAACAAATAACTTGAGTAGTCCCTGCCTGAAAGAATTCAGATGTCAAGTGGGATTCTTTTAAGGAAATGTAATGTGACCCTATAAGGGATACACACATCAACTGAAGGAAATTTAAAGGAATGGGAGAAAAAAGCAACAGTTTACTTTTCTACCCTGAGTTCTGCAAGCCCTATGCCCTTCTTATGGATGAACCAGATAGGAGACCAGCTATCGCGCTGGTCCTCATACCCACACAGGTATTAAAAGAGCTGCTGGGTGGTAGGTAAGTTTTCGGTGGGAAGTAGAACATGCTCTCTCTTCCATCCGATCCAACAAGAAACCAAAGAAAAAAAAGGACTGGCTGATTACTTCATTTCCCTTGATGAAGGAAAGATCTTAGAGAGAGGCTACAAACTCCTCTTTCTCACTGATTGGAAATGTTTTGTTCAGTTCTATAAAAATAATGCTAATAATAACAATGTTTTCTATATATATCAATTAAAAATGTTAATTATAATAATCAGAAATAACATCTTTGGTGTCAGATAAATTCAGCTCTGCCAGTTGCTAGCCTTGGAAAAGTTAGCTTTCTTGAACCTCTTTCCCACTTTCCCATCTATGAAATGAAGTTAATACTTGCTTAATTAACAGAGCTGTGGTGAGCAATAAGAGTAATACTGTATGTGAGGTACTCACAGCAGTGACTAGGACACAGTAAGTAATCTACAATTACAATAGTATATTTTACTCACTAATAATCTTCTTTGTACTTGTATCTGAACAGCACAATAATTATTGGCTAACAAGTCTTTTTTATAAAGTTTGTTAGTAGTACCTACCTTATAATCTATAAAAGATTCTTGTTCCTGTTGACATTGGGAAAGATAATCCTTCATATCATTCAATTCATCTTCATGTATCTTTGTGACTAACTGCTGACGCTTCTGAATCTGAATTGTGCCTGAAAAATGAATAAGTAAAATCTCATGATGTCATTCATCAAATGGTGGTAGATAAATGTTAATATAAATCAGGCCAAGTAGGTTAATGCATTTTTTTTTTAATTTAGCACACATCCACAGATACTTAAGCAGTTCACTATCCTTTTGATTAAAACAAGCCAGTCTACCATAACAAGGGCACTCAAGTTTGTTGTTTTTGAGAGATGGCTGAGGTATAAAAAAATGTTGTCTTCAACAGGGAAACAAACAAACCATGAAATCCATTCACAGGATATAATCAATAAGGAAAAATAAAAATGTCTATTTTTTCTCACTACATTTTGCCTAAATGATGTAACACAGCCCAAAAGGTATAGCAAGGAAAATAATTGGCTGTGATTACCTACCCTTCTCACAGCCAAATCTTTTAAAAATTCTGCATTAGTTAGGTCTGTGCTAGAGTACCACCATCCCCATCCCAGCAGTGAAAAATCTTAAACCAACTAGGAGTCTCTAAGTTTTCACCCTAAAAACCAAAATGTTAATTTGCCAAGACATGCTGTTCACATGCTGCTACATTCCTCATGCATGAGAGAGAAAAAAAACAAAATAAAACACTAAGTCAAAAATAAGGCAAAAAGGGGTGCCTGGGTGGCTCAGTCAGTTCAGCATCCAGCTCCTGATTTCAGCTCAGGTGATGATCTCACGGTTTATGGGACTGAGCCCCATGTCGGGCTCTGCACTGACAGCGTGGAGCCTGTTGGGATTCTCTCTCCTCTCTCTGCCCCTCCCCAGCTCATGCGTGCAAGTGCGCGCTCTCTCTCTCTCAAAATAAAGTAAACATTAAAAAAAAAATAAAGCAAAAGGCATTTGGCAACCATGACATTAACATCTACAGTGGAATTCTATTATGTAAAGACATCACAGAATTTGGAATGAAAGGATGCAATGATAGTTTACTACTTCTTCCCCTACTGCTAAAAAAAAAGAACCTTTGATTTCTTCAATAATCTTGAGAAATAGTAAAGAGAAAACTTTTGCCAAATCATAAACAACTGTTACCAGCTCTGATATTCTTCTGTTAGGGTTCACTTCCTCTCTTTTAATTTTCCAATTTATAAAAGCATGGTAAATTTGTTTCAATATTACTCAAAAGAATTTCAGATTTTTTAAATGTTGAAAATTCATTTGTAGTTCCCCAAATAACAGAAAACCTCTTTTTTGTCAAACTGCTGACAGGATGAATTCCTTCACCCCCTTGGAAAATAACCTAAAACTATGTGTTGAGATCTGAATTTGCAGTACTATTACACAGCATGCGTTGGACATCTGTCTTAATGTAGCCTGATTTACCTCCTCTGCTATAGTCCAGCCAGTCTTCTCAATGCTCCCAAACCCAGCAAAGTTTACATTCAGATTATCATGTTCTCCGGTGCTGCAACAATCCACTTTCCTTCTACCTAGCATAAGCATAAGACCAGACCCGGCTCAAATCCTACCACCTCCAGGATGACTCAGTAAGTATAGCCTTTGAGCTATAATTCTTGTCTGTGCCACACAACTTAGTACTTAGTTATATTCTGTTACAATGTCTGAAGAGCAGGGTAGCCTATCAATACTTAAAGCAACTCCATGAGAAAATCGAATCAACTGAACTCCACTGTTGATTTAGAATATGGATAGCCGACATGTATAAAAAAGAGTAAGGAAGACAGGTGCTTCAAACATGAAAAAATTTTTTAACTTTTGTAAGCACCTTCAGAACCTAAAGCAGTACCATATTATCTGTAGTACATTGTTTTACTATCCTCACTCCTGCTAGTTTTCCTTTCCTTCTAGGAAAGGTCTGATTCTCCAAGCTCATACAGAGCCAAGCTTGGTGAATGTTCGGAGTGATTCACTTAATGGGATGTTGTTACATAATTAGTAACCAAATGATAGATTATGGAATGCAATGACTAATTTCATGGTGCATGAGAAATTCAAACTGGCTCTGAAATCAACTCAAAAGAGCTCTTAAAGTGTTGAGATAAGTGCCAGAATTAAGAAAATAATGTGATGTCCTTTAAATAGTGACCTTGAAAAACTGTCAGAGAAGTTTTTATATGTTCACTGAGCTAATCTCATCACGATGCAGACCTATTTCATATTACCCAGGCCTTTCATATTCCAAAAAGATGCTTTTAAAAAAGTATAAGACAATGTTTTATTAAATATAATCATTAAAGTAAAATTTACAAGTAACCAAAATTTTAAACAGAGCAGTAGTTTCTTAATTTTGAAAGCACTCGTTTCTAAGTTATTCTTTCCACTAAATACTTAAAGATCATGCAACTGGTGGGGTTTTAATGCAATTTGGATTAACATTAAATCACTGTCCAATTTTTTTAGTAAGAAAAAAAAGATTAAGAGAAGACCTTCTCCTTTGTTACCTCCATGTTTACCTGTGGGGAAAGAAATCATGCTCAAAAAAAACATTCATACATTTGTTCCAGCTAGAAAATAACAAAATTAAGCATATATTTCAAGTCAAATCTCATTACAACAAACTTCAAGGGAGGATACAAATTACAGTATCTCAGTACTAAATTCAAGCAGATATCCACCAGGAGTCTAAATGTTAATTTTTTAATATAAAGTTAGACAAGAAGAAACACATTTTATTGACTCTGACTTTAAAGAAGTATTGACTGTCTTACTTATTCTAATATTACACTGTGTTGAATAATGCATCTTTTCCAAAAATTAACATATGGTGCATTTTGCATTAAGGTACACATTGTTGAAAGGAACTAGCAAAACAGGAATATTCCAAAAGTTAAACTGTGGATCATATCAGCAAAACTCAGAAGTTCACGTGAGGCAAATTGAAATCTGTAAAAGTGACAAGATCTAAAACATTTGCTTCATGTGTTTTTTTCAAAATTCTAATACAGCAAAGAGCGTGAATGCTCAGTTCTCAAACAGTCTTATCTTTGTAGAAACAATCACATTAACTAAGATTCAACAGTTAGGCTCCCAAATGAAAAATAACACCATATGGAATTCCCTCCTCTTTTCATCCAAAACACTTTTAAGGGCTTTGCATTAAAGATGATCAATATACATAAACACTAACAAGAACAACAATGAGAAAAGTATAATAATAAATTATAAAAAAATAAACTCTCAATTCATATGGATCATGGAAGCAGCAACAAATGTCACAAAATATAATGTTTGCATAAAACCTGAGGGGAAAAATAATGAGCACCAATTATTCTGACATTTCAAATATAACCATTTCAACTGAGATTTAAATAATCTTCCAAATAAAGCCACAATTAAAGCTAGTTTGTGATTCTAAATTAAAATGATGTCCTTTGTGGTAAGCACTTCAGATTTTTAATCTTTTTCTTTAAAGAAAAAAAAAAAAATGGATGCTACATTTCTTAAATAAATACCACCAAACTTCAGTGAAAAACAGCTTTGTGAGATAGGCAGCACTATCCCCATTTCCAAATGAGAAAACTGAGGCTCAAACAGATGGCAAGGTTATATATTTAATGAGGACACTGAAAACAGATCCCAGAATTCCTCACTCTTAGTAAGGGTCCATACACTAGACCATCAATTTTTATATAACCAATTTTCAAATACTTACCATAGAAATGTCCAAATCCCATGCTGATTGCAATCACCAGAGCAAGTATAACACATTTATTGAGACCACTGCTGAACTGGCGTTTATGCAACTCCTTAGAGGGTTCGGTTTCTTGTTCGGGGAGTAGCCGTTCTTCAGAGTCAGAACTAGAAACAGTCTTCTTCCTAACACGGCGTCGTCTAAAGGCAGGACTAGGCTGATGACTGGTCTCATCGCTACTTGATTCGTCGTCGCTAGGCTGGGATGAAAATACTATTTTAAAAAGAAAAACGTAAATATTAAAAGTTTTAGAATAGTTCTTCTAGTAAATATGATTTAGAATAATCAATGCCATCCCTACATGCCCTTTTACATAAGACAGCCAAAAACAAAAACAAAAGAACACAAACACTCAAGTTTATCAACATAAAGCCATAAACATCAAAGATTTCAACTGTGATACACAAGAATCAATCATAGTCTGTGCCTTTGAGGGTCTATCTGGTTTTATTTTTCAAACCTCTCTTAAAGTTTATACTGTTAGAACAATCATTCTCATAGTCTATTAAATTTCTTTGCTATTAGAACCATAAAGAGATACTGTTTCTGGAAGGAAAAAAAACTGTCAATCTCTTCTTTCAATTTCAAATAGAGGCAATTTAAGCTCAACTGTTGAAGGGACACAGGGAGGTATACAAACAGTTCCTGTGACTTACAAAGTACAACAACTACCTAAAGTTTTCTTGGGTGTATCTGGACCCTAGTTTCATTTCCATTCCTTGAGTCCACAATCAAGGTTCAAAGCACTATAGTTTAACACAGGTATCCAGAAGTCAGATGAGCCCTTCCCTTCGACTGCCACTCTTACTAGAAGGTTATTAATTTTACCCTCTAGTAAATATGTCAGCATGAGGAAGTGACACAACAGCTATCTCCGATATTAAGGACTAGTCTGGTGCTGCTCCTTTATGAAAAGAATAGTAAAGAACAACAACAACAACAAAAAAAAAAGCCACAAGAAATCTCAAGTCCTGGTATATCCACTAAAAAAATCACCTTTGGTTTTTTCAAATTAATAATTTGTTAACACCGCTCCATCAATCAAAAAACTATATGTTAACACAGAAGGTTAGATAGCTTGGTAACAATTTCCACAGGCCAGTTAGAGGAATAAAAAAAAAAACAGCACCAAAAGGATAAATGTGAACCTCAATGTTATACAAAGAGCTCCAAAATAACAAACATTCATGCTTCAAAAAAGTAAAATGGTTCTTCAGAAGACAGGATAACCATGCCACAGGAAAGTTGGTGACTTAGGTTAGGCAATACTTTTTAAAGATGGATCACAGAGGAATTCAGGTACCTTTCACACTGACAACAACAAACACAAAGACAAAAAGAACTACTGAATGAATGAATATTCCTAATATTTAGTGATACAGATGCCACTGAGAGATCTTTTGGTCATGACCCTTATGCCCATCATGTTTATCTGGTTATTCTTGGTCACTAGTTTTTCCCAGATGCCGTCGCCTCAGCTGTGAGGTTACATTTCTTGGACAAAGAGAAAGAAAGGAAGACTTAAACAAAGCATTACATAATACAAAGGCATTCAAGATCATGGTTGGAGCATTTAAGTCAGACTCTCTGGCAATATGTATTAAGATGGACAAATGCAAAAACAATTCGTCAAGATTCCTTTCAAATTTCATTTGAAATGTCACAAAATTAAATTTATTTAATTCTACATTAGCATATCACCATCATTATATATTCTAAGTAAACAAGGCAGCCTAATCTATATTAATAAATTCACCTCCTTATCTAATGCTTCCATCTTTTTTAACCCATACATAGGACAGCTAAAATATTTTGGTTTTAAATTTCTTCCAAAGCTTAATTTGGCCCACAGTCCAAGATGCAGGCAACGCAAAGGCATGCAGTAAGCTCAGCCAGCTTTATTACAAGACCAATTTGAACACCTGTTTAGAGTATCACAGATGACAACAGATATCTTTAAAGCACTAAGTAAATAGTAAATGTGACTAGGCACACTCAGCTCTGGAAAAGCTGATCAGATTTAGTCACACCACCTTGGAAAGCGAGTTGGCTAGGAACATGGTGTTTCAGCTGATCATCCCATCCCCTTATGCATTCAGGAATCTTCCACAGCTTCTCCCACCACCTTTCTTTTGTGAATAAACAGGAAAAAAAGATGTATAAAGCTTTGTTATAAAGACTAAAAAGGAAAAAGAGAATTGAAAATACTTATTTTAATTATCACTTAACATCGTTATTTGTGCTCCATCAAAATTTTACAATCACGCCTTTTAAAAAAAACATATGCAATACAAACTTTTCTACAGCTACCAACTTTGCTTTCTTGGGGGAGAATCCTCTGGCAGCAGTGGACAGTATTCTCAAATAAACAAAAAGTATATTGTCCCAAGAATCTAATTTAGAAGAAGAAAAAACCTGAAGATGAAATCCTACAGAGATGGAGAAGGGAAAGGAAAATCAAAATAACCAGGAAATAGGCAGTCAGGAATTAAACCAAGAAAAATAGGAGATAAGAGAGAGAAAACAAGACTCTTAGCAATGGATTTCTATATAGTATTTTCAACGTAATGCAAAATGTCCTTTTTTCTTATTACTTTGTAATACTTTATTGAAATAACTTACTCCTTTCGGAGAGATAGCAATGGATAAAAATACTCCTAATAAAATATTTCTCTTAACTGAAACTGTAAAATCCCCAAGAAGTCCAAGTTCAGAATGGAGATAAAAACTAGAATAATGTGCTTTGAAGTGTCCAAATTCCTGAGAAAAATTGTTTATAGCATCAATTTCTTAGATGTCTGATTGGACTCTTCTGCTACTCCTGCTTCAATGTGACTACTTTTTCTGGCCCATGAATATTCTCAAATTAAACCAGCATCTATAGTTTTCCAAAAAAAAGGAAGGATGGAAAGAAAGAAGACTACTTGAATACAGCATGAATCCTGGATTTAAACAAAATAAAATCTAATGAACAAAAAAGGTTCTAAAATCATTTCATTAGTCCTTGTAATAAATGTACTACGTATACATTCTGGCAAAGGCTGACCACCACTAAGAATGCCAGTTGAGTATTTAAATATTTGAATGAAAAGCTCTTGTATACTAACTGAAAATAACTCACCATTAAACGAGATAGCTAAAAATCTCTACTTGACATTTTTTTAGCTTAAAGTGGAATAAGAGAAATTCCATTTGTCTGATTCTGGCAAATGTTAAGTATTAAAGAATGGTAAATTCTAAGAAAATGATCCAAAATAGACACGTCCCTATTTTTCCATCAAATTAGGACATTTTGGAATCCCTTAGCAGTGCACCAACTTGTCTTTCCCACAATTCATCCTTGAGCTACTGCTCAAGTTATTGGTTAATAAGTGTGAGTTAATTCCAGGTCTGTTTATCTTCCAGTAACTTTGTGTCTAAATATTCATGTCCATGTGAACAGACGTTATTATATACATCCCTCCAAATGAGCCAAAGAAATATAGAAAGGAATTAGCTCAGTAACTCACATTTTAACTTCCAAATCATTATCTGAACAGTAGGCATGAACTGCATTAATAATATGACTTAAAATAGGAACCTTTCATAACTCAATCTAAAATGAAAGATACAAAGGTCAGAGGCTTTGGGATGCTGCTGTGCTGCCAGCTCTTTGAACCCTGTTTAGCACATAGTAGCATCCAATAAATGTTTGTTAAATGATTAATAACTGAAAGAATCTAAAAGACTTCAATTAATAAGCTTATTTCTAGAATATAAAATTTGTACCACTGTAAGTAGAAACCTTAACTTTCTCCTGTTTTTAGTTACAATGGCACAATCTCCCACCCTTAAAGATCTAAAAAATGTATCAAATGCATTTGAGTGTTTCAGACAGTAACAAATCTCCTTGAAGATATTTTTTTCATCTTTCATTTAATAAAAGATGTTGTTATTTATTGTTATAGCAATTGTACTCTAAGTCCTACAATGTAAGAAAACACCAGATTTAATAGTAGGTTTTACAAAAAAAATCTCAAATATATTAAAAACTTGACCATTATATATATAAAAGGTGGTCATAGGAGAACTTAAGTCTGTCATCAGTGTATTCTTTATGCAGTTCTTACCAGTTTCTGGCTGACAGAATGTATACTGGCTGCTAGAAGAAGAGCCCATGTTAAAGTCTTCTGGACTCTGTGCTTCTTCAACAATTATAGCTTCCTGATTTCCCATTTCTTCTAACTTAGGTGGCTCAAGGGTAACAATATCAGAATCATCACTGACAGTTCCAAAATAGACATGGTCTTCCGACAACTTTTCTTCTCTCTGAGGAATAATTTTAAAAACAGTAAATTTAACAATTATTTAAGAGCCTTACGTTTTCTATGCAGTTCAAAGTGTACAACAGTACTAAGTGCTATGGTAATTTAGGCTTAAAATAAAAGATATGAGCCCTGCCCAAAAGACAAAGATTACTCAGGAGTAGACTCATCTTTCAGATTGAAAACACCATCAACCCCCTTGACGATTATCTCTGTCAGAATTAGATCAAACTGCTGCCTAATTTTCATGGGCTACAGAAACTAAAAAGCCCACCTTTAAAACACAAGGACCATGGAAAAGAGGATTCATTTCTCACCAGTTCCCTGGGTTTATTCGAGCATAATTCTATAGTCAGGAAGCCCGTAAAAGACTGATTACAAATTTCTCTGGTTGCATATGTAATAAATTTCAATAGCTATGCCATGTAAAAATCATATAAACTAGTTTTATCTAGAAGTCAAGTAAAACACCAAAAAACAAGATTTTGTTTGTTCTCAAATTTAAAAACGAATCTTCATTTTTAGAGATCAGTCCTAATAACTTAATTTCTCAGTATAATTCAAGAATGTAATCTACTTCAAAGTAAAATTATATTAGAGAGTAATGAACAGATCTTTCACACATTTCCAAGAAATTACTTTTGTAAATTAAAAGGCATTTCACTTAAGAGTTGAAACAGAAGCTAACGCTAATCACAAAAGTGACCAATCTGTGGAATCTCAAAATTTTTAATAAATGTTGCATAATTCAAAGAGGAATAAAAGTATAACTAGAAAGGGAAACCTTAATTATTCCTTAATATTCCCTAAGGAATATTGCTTACCATATATCCACAGAGTAAAACATATGTTTACCTCAAGTGCCGACTTCGTTTCCTCCAAAGCTGGATAAGCAGTTTCTCCCATTAACACTGTGCCATTTTGGCTACTCTCTGATATAAAGCAAAGATCAATTCAATCAATTATACTTAACTGACTTTTTATAGGCCACATATATTATAATCTGAGTACATAAAATCTATTCCTAATTTTGTAAGTGGATTTAATGAAATGTCATATACAATCATAACATCACTCTACTGTTGCTAAAAAGATTTCTGTATTTCAAATATAATTATTTGAAATTGTCAGAGGATATTTTAGATACCGAACTGAACTCATTTAAATTCTACTAAAAAAACAATACAATCTCTAAGTAAACAACATAATCTCTACTGTACAATACCAAAGTACTAAATTTAAGGTGTTTGTAAAAATCTGTTAATATGGGAAAACATTTTTCAGACATCTGATGGTACATTTCCTGAACTCTTAGTTTATTCAGAATTCCTAAAAGTAGCACTATTCTAATGACTGTCAATACCTGGTAACTCAACAAACAAAACTACAGCTTCAAATTATGAGTTCTTTGCCATGAAAAGGACTATAAAAAATAAGGATTCAAAAGAACACAGAAAAACAAAATGTCACTACAGGACATATATTTTATAAGAAACTCCTCAAAGAAAAAAATGTACAAAAAAACCCCTAGAGTTCATACAATTCTATTTTTCATACAAAAGGCTATAAAATTTTCATAGAAGTTAAAAATATTAAAATAATACATGATAAACATAAATTTTATGCACAGCCAAGAACATATACCAAACGTTATATGCATTTGCGTATTTTATTACATTAATTTAAGAAGATTATTATTAATTTTATCAATTTTTATGTATAGCAGTTATCTCCAGATAAAAAGAATTAAGGGTGACTTAAAATTTGTTTTGTTCATCATTTTTTTCTGTCATTAATGTGTGTATTTCTCATAGAATTTAGTCCCTCCAAAAAAAACAGAGGAGGAAAAAAAAGAAAAACTTTGCCATCTGTATGTGTTACATAGCCCCTAATAGAGTATTAATCTGAAATTAAGTCTTTCAGCAAAGGTGGACTTGGGTCCAAGAACTCCCAAGGAAGTCTGGAAATACTTTTACATATGTGAGTATGTGTATTTCTTGGGAGAAAAATCTCACCTATCAAAGATGAGGATCACTGTTCAAATGAGAATAATCAATACACAGGCTGAAAACAAGATTAACAGGTATAAACCATCATTACTTCTAGACATGACGCATCCACTTTATTCTCCTGAGGAGAATATGTTCTATTTACATTTTAATGCAATTTTTTAAAACTGTTTAAGAAGTCATTTAAAAATGAAGAGTAAAGCAGTTAAATGCCTTTTTTTACCACCTCTTACCAAAAGTAATTTGAAGTGTGATGCTAACTAGAAAAGAGTTCAGTAAATCTCTTGTATTTTGTACATCACTAGTCTTAAAATTAGTAGTGTTTAGTTACTGGTTACACTTGCATTATCAAAGAGTTTATACGGAGGCTGAAATACATACTACAGCTGCAAATAAACCACTGGTTGGTGTCACTACCCAATCCACAAGAAAATTTTAGTCATTTAGTGACCATATCTGATTAGCCAGAAAGGCTGCCTGACTAGAAAGAATGCAAGATTCACACTATTGTTCACACATCCTATTTAAAAAAAATAAAATCAGACTCCTTTTAACATCGTACCTCCTTCCTCTGATTGCAATACTTGTAGCTCCTCTTGCTCTAAAGATGTGCATTCTGGAGCAAGCTCACAGCTGTCACTGGCTGTGCCACGTTCAGAATTCACCATCTCTATATCAGACCCCTAGGGAAAAAATGATCATCAGTTATATGTCTACCAAATCAAGCTCAAAGCTGGGTTTCACTACATGTAGATGCTTCCATTGTTAAAAGTCCTGGATGCTGCCATACTTCAAAGGGAACAGTATCTAATCTGACTACCTTTTATTCAATTTAGTCCATAATGGCCTATGTCAGGGAAACAGCAGAATGGAATCACAGGGTTAGATTCTAAGAGAAGTCAGCCAAAAGTCAAATGCTGTACTCTATTTTATAAGCCCAAGCAATTAATTTGATCACAGAGGGTAGGTTTTTAAGCTTTGCTATTTCTATGAATTTACTTCTACTCAACATTTACGAAGGTACTATGCAAGGCACTTTGCCATGTGTTATGAAGTATAAAAACCTCAATTCCAAAATTCAAATTTGCAACCTATTCAGAGAAATTTCCACATGCAAATAACTATTTACTATGGCAATGCAGAACTAAAAGTCTAAAGGCAAGGATTAAAATGTATCTATAGAATTGATGGAGTAAATTTTCTCTATAAAATTTTAGATTATTCTTTATTCTTCCAAGGTTGTCCTCCCTACTTTGATGTCAACTACCTTCTCTTTAAGAAAATAGTGGATCTTGGGGCGCCTGGGTGGTGCAGTCGGTTAAGCGTCCGACTTCAGCCAGGTCACGATCTCGCGGTCTGTGAGTTCGAGCCCCGCGTCAGGCTCTGGGCTGATGGCTCAGAGCCTGGAGCCTGTTTCCGATTCTGTGTCTCCCTCTCTCTCTGCCCCTCCCCCGTTCATGCTCTGTCTCTCTCTGTCCCAAAAATAAATAAAAAACGTTGAAAAAAAAAAATAGTGGATCTTACAGTTTTTTCTCATATCTTAATTAGTAAAATAGAGTTAACCACTAAGGTGATTCTACCTATCCTCATGCCCCTCCTCTCCCAATTTTTTGTGATTTACTGATCCATGAAACTGAAAGGTCTAAGTTCTCCTAATATACATAACTCAAAACAGCAAAAATTAAAAGAATTCATTAAAGGAGTAGGTTTTGAGTTTAGTCCTAAGGAGAATTCTGAATGTTAAGACTCTGGGAATGCCTAAAGTGGTAGGGAAATGACAGAAACAGGGTAGGGCTGAATTGGGGACTGCAAGGGACACAGGTTCTGGCCTAAAACAGAATGGTAGCAATGGAAAAGGAAAGGAAACACATGTAAGAGACATTAGCAAGAAAGAGTAGAACTGGATAACTAGATACAGAGGGAAGAGGGATGAAAATACAAATCTGATCTACTCTGTGACAAGATTATCTCCAACAGAAGCACCCTAATGACACACTTGGCTAAGTGCATGAGAGGCTTCCTGCCTTGCTTCACAATGCAGAATCCTAAGTAAGACTCCCACAGCTTCCTTGTTCCTATAATGTTAATTATCCTTGAAGGAAAAGTTACTGCTATGGGAGCTGATCTAAGCTTTGTATAAAACAGGTTAAAAACAGAAAAGTCACTTATTTAAAAAAGAAACCACCCCAATCTCAATTGGTACAGCTGCCATTAAATTTTCCAACTATACTAGGAAAAAAAAAAAAAAATCCTTCTTTGGTTAATAGTGATTTTTAGAAGACAGGAGTAACCAACTGTCTAAGCCTTAAATTATCAAAGTAATTATAAAAAATACCATTTAAAACTTTTATTAGTCAAGGAAAACAAGTCAAGCCTTAAGAGATTCTAAAAACAAATAAGAAAACTGTAGACAAATCCATTAAAACTTTAAATATAGATGACTTTTAACTTATTGCTTCTATTTATCAGTATTTTATGATTTTTCTACAATGAACATATATTACCAATGTGGAAAAGAAATTAATGCTTATTATATACTAGTCATATAACATCATACTTCTGTAAGAATATTCATTTTTTTAAAGAGTTCGGGCCATAGCCTTGTTTCTGTCAAGTTCTGCTAATAACATAACATAACATAACATAACATAACATAACATAACATAACATAGCATAGCATAGCATACCAAAAGTAGAACATATGTTCTCCATGCTCCTTTCTGGTGTGTTTTAATGCAGCCAACATTTCCTAGTTATAAAATTTGGCCAAATTACTTAACCTCTCTAATCTCTAGTTTTCTCAACTATGAAATGAGAATGAAAACAATCTATACCACAGACGGTTGTTTACAATTCTATGAGAATGTAGGTAAGGTGCAGGCCCTACACAATAATAAACCTTCAATAAATATTTGCCTAATGTCTCAAAGCTGAGGAAAGCAATGTACTATAATGCAAAAGATACTGCTCGTTAAGAGTTTTCAGTAGTGAAGTTTAATATGGGTGCAAAAGTGTCCAAGCTATGGACAATGGAACCTTAGGCTTCAACATAAAAAAATAATGGCCTTCAAAAAGCCCAGCTTACACCACTAACACTGTAATATTACAAATTGCCTTATTTGTATTAAATAGCATTAAAAGTATTAATAGCATATTAAATATTAAGGTATTAAATAGCATACCTCATATATTGACGTATTAAATAGCATACCTCATGATTGATGACAGTCCAACCACAAGATGAATCACTGTCACTGGAATTTTCAGACATTTTTCAGGTCTACAAATATAAAAATATATTGACATGTGGGGTATATTTTTAAAAATTCTATAGGAAGCACTACATGTGATCTAGTATGAAAAGTGGCTTGCTGCCTTCCAGGTGAAACTGAGACAACCCACCCACAGAATTATCATACAGGGCATATAACTGCATATTTCTATGAACAAATACAACCAAACTTTTAAGACAAGAGAACCTCCTCAGTTAGACTATACGGACAGTCATATTGTTGGAATAAAGAAATAAAGTCTGAAAGAAAATGTAGGATTTGGCCAGGCAGAACTGAAGGGAAAGGAGCAGCCAATTTGACTGTGAGTAAATCAAGGGTTGAGAGACCAAATAGCAGAAGAGCTCCCAGGCCAAGCAAAATGAAGTCTATTGTGTTGGCAACATGAAGCAATATAGATTTTTCAAGCAGGGAAAGAATACGATCAAACAGTTTTTATGAAAATAACTATGTCAGCAATACTCCACCTGAATTAAAATAAAGCAGGGGGAAGGGGGAGACCAGAAATGGGTTAGAAACTTGAGGTCATTGACAATAACCCAGACTCAAGTCCTAAAGCAGTATATATATTGGTCACTCTACCTGGTTTGTTCTCCCCTTTCTACCTGAAACTCCTATTTAAACTTCAAAACCAAGCTAATCAAATGATATTTTACTGACTTCATTCAACATATTTAAGTCCTATAAATGCTATTATTGTACATACACTGAGAACACATTAAATTCAAGTTGAATTAGCATTTCTAACAGAACGCTAATGCAGATAGTTCAATATGGAAACAGTGCTCATTTACAAACAGGCCAAAAAATATTGGTCTGAATCTTCTATTAGTGATTCTGGAAAAATTAACATTTTAAAATGAGAAAATATAAAGAGGTGCTTGGCCACTATTAATATAAAAATCAGCATGTATTCAGACAAATTACTCAAAACCTAAAATGAGATACAAAGATGACTGTGTGACTTATACTGTCATGCTAGAGCATTTTCTAGTAAGTCACCTGATTATTTGATTTCCTACTTGCAACTGATTAGGGCCCAGGCAGTTTATAACTCCATAAATGTAAAGGTAAACTATTCCAGTAGAGAAGATTACCCCAAAGGCTATAGCACTCCATATTAAGCTATTATACAATTCCCAATTCCTCATTGAACCAGTTTTTATGAGTTTAAAAAAAAAAAAACTTTGATATATTACTATTTGTACTTGAATTCTTTTATAACAATTTGAAAATTATGAGCTGACATATGAGACTACACAAAAACTGAGCAATTAACTTCACAGGAGGAAAGAGGAATGGTCAAAGAAGTCTTTATGAGGTTACAATGTTTTTTAGACATGGGAGACAGCAAGTTTTAACTGAATTAGTTGCCAAAATTTAAAAGTTGAGAGATTTCACAAAAAAATAAAGTTGTTTCCCCTTTAGAGATAACACTGGATGTCCCAAAAGAACAGAAAAAGCATTACAGAGCAAAAACAAAGGCAGAAAAAAAACTAAATATGAAAGTTCTAAGCAAGGCAATTAATCTAGCATGAGTGGAATGTTAAAAGAAATCAGGTATGAATCTTTAAAAGTGCATATATTAAGATGAGGTAGCAAGCAATTAAAGAGCCCTAGACCTGGGAGATGCAAGCCATCAGAGCAATACTCCCTGGAGAAGATGAGTATACATTTAACCAGGATTCATGAATGGGAAGGAACAAAGAAAGGACAGGGTTAGGAAAGATTTGAAAAGACATCAAAGATTTTTGTTTTAAAGGATTTAATAACCAAATACAGAAGGGAGAGAGTGTTGGTAGGATAACTCCCAGGTTTCTGGTTTAAGTGACTGGGTAGTTGGAAAAACCATGGAACAAGAAGTAGGATAAAGAAAACTACCTGAAGCCTAAACATTCTTCCTTCCTGTGAAAGTTTCTAACCTCCTTTATAACCCACGTTCTCAATACTGCTTCATCTCACCTCTGAGACTTACCAGTGCTTTACTTTCTTAATAATCTTCCAAAACTTGGGGGGTGATTACCAAACCCAGAGATATTTAATGTGTACATATCTCCTACTTTCCTCTAGGTAATTTCCATTTAAACGGCTCTTTTAAACAGGTAGTTCCTAGCTTTCGTTTTCTAACAAAGTACTCTAGTAGCTCAGGTGTTCAAATTAACAGCCAACATTTCAAAATAAAGTTATATACATTGCTAAACTGGAACAACTTGAGCATATTTGAGATTTTCAAATCAAGGAGCCCCATTAAATCAGGCCCCAGTTTAATTCTTAGTTTACTCATCTGGAAGGAAGGACAAATTTGACATCCAGTCCAAATGAGAAAAAAAGATTCCCTACTGGACATAACACCAGAGAAACAGTTTGGTTAAGTACAATTCAGAGCCTTACTAAAGAACCCACTTAAGTCAGCAATTCTCAAAAAGTTGGGTGCACTGCAATTAAAGCAAAATTTTAAAAACTGAGCCCCACCCTAAATACACTGACTCTAAAAGGTGCCATTGTATATGAACCTCCTCATTCGTCAGTGACCTAGCCCCTTACCTCAACCCAAACTCCTGTGCCCGTCCTTCCTATCTCATCCCCAAAGACTAGTATTTTCCCTAATCTACCACTTAAGAGAATGCTGTGCTGTAATTGCTTATTTACTTGCCTATTATATAATCCCAACACACAAGCACAGTGCTTGACACATATTAGGTACTCAAAAAGAAGAAAGGCAGATTGCTGGATGATGATGCAGTTAGTAACACAAGTCTAAACTGTTCAAGGAAATCAAAATTCTGGAGGGACCCATGAGGTTCCTCTCCCATTATTTTGACCAAAGGTAAAGGCACAAACTCCTCCCATTTTAAGAGCATTACTAATAATTTAGAAATATGCAGTTTACGGGAAGTTACAAAGGCATAAATAATCATACAAAGTTATAAAGTTAAGGTACTTTATGAAGATGATAAACTTGAAGCACTTTTCTAGACCCAGGCTTCCTTTCAGTCTTGAGTAGTTTCTTTGTCATACATTTCCCATTGCTTAGGCTTCTTGGGCATTTCAAATATAACATCTACAAGACTTAAAATCATCTTCCTGCTGTTCTTCCTATTTTTGCTATCTCAGAGAACAGCATTAGCCAAAAACAATCTGGCTATAAGGAAAAGCCACAAAATATCAACCCCTAGATTTAGGATAGCTAAAACTTCACCTTGACCCCAAAATCCACTCTTACCCCAACTTCATCATTTCCCACTTCAGTTAAGGTAACAGCTCCCTCATGGATCTCTAACATGTGATCAATTCCCTTCCAGTCACTCCTTTACAAGGCTGCCTACACTAAGTTTATCCAAAAACATAAAAATCATTTGAACTACTCAAATCACTTAAAATTAGTCTCCACTGCCTTCCAGATAAAACCCAAAGTCTATAATAAGAGATTCCAGAATAGGAGACATCATTTAAATGGACTCTCTCACCTCGCAATATGTTAAGATTTTGTATGTAGAACTCTATTGAAGAGAATTTGACAGTAAGTATTACAAGCACATGGTATCACCAGAGAATACAGCACAAGCTGGTGATGATAGGATGTAAATTTACTCCATGGAGTCTCATCTCATTTATGAAGCTACTTACAGCAGAAAGACCAATTCTACATGGGTATAATTACACATTCTTCAGCAGACAGGAGGCCTAAGGTGATTACCATTTTAAATTCATTCCTTTACCCATCTGTTCAACATTTATCAAGTATCTAAGCACTTGCTAGGTATTGAAAATACCATACACCAAAGTACAAAACAGACAGGAGTCTTGCCTCCTGGGGCTTGAATTCTATTCATAGTTGAGTATTTTGAACTGCATCTGAGCCCTGTGATGGAGGAAAGCAAGGAACACTGAAAAATCTCCCAGTCCTGTTTTGTCTTCTGACAAATGACTAAATGCAAAAGGACCAACCTTCCCTCACAAATCCCAGGTTAAGAGTCACTTCCACCTCTCCTCATGATTCCCTTGTTTACTTGCCCTTATAAAACCCCTTGGTTTCCTCTCTCTTTGAGATGTTTCTCATTAATGAACTTTCTCTATATTGCAATAGCCTGAATTAAAATCATCAATTATACTGTGCATTTCATCTTCCACAATGGAGACATTCAATAAACAATACATAAACAGCTAGAATACACAGTATATTTGATGCTATATTTCTAACTATGAAGAAAAACAAGAGAGGAGTACAGAAAATCCAAAGTTGGAAGGGACTGATTTTTAAAAACAGAGTCAGGAAAAGCTTCATTAAGAAAAGTATATTTGAGCAAATATTTGAATAGGTGAGGCAATCCTTATGCGGTTAACTGGGGAAAGAGCATTTCTGACCAAACTGCAGGTACAAAGTTGGAATGAAGCCTGCCTCCATCTCTGAGGAACAGCAATGAGGCCTGTGTGGTAGAGAAGAGTGGCCTGAAAAGAAAGGAGGAAAAGATGAGGACAGAGGGCTAACAAGCACGTAGAGCCTTATAGATCCTATGACTTTATAGCTTTTTACTTGGAGTTAAAGTAAGAGTCACAGAAAATTTTTGAGGAAAGAAAGAAAACATTCTGGAAGCCTTCTTTAGACAGCACTGTGGGGGAGAGCAAAGGCATAAGCAGGAAGATCATTTACAAAGCTACAATATCCAGCTGATAAATTATGGTAGTTTGGACCAGGGTGGTAGCCATAAAGATAATCAGAAGTGGACAGATAACACAAATATATTCTGAAGGTACAGCTAAGTAACGACACTTCCCAATATACTGAATATAGGGTGTGAGAGAGGAGTCCTGGCCTAAGCAAATACAAAAACCAAATTGCCACTGAGACAGGAAAGACTTCAAAAGCAGTAGGTTATGAAAAGAAAACTGGTGAACTATTTTGGGGCATGTTAAATTTGAGACAGCGATTATCACATCCAAGTGGAAACATCAAGCAGGAAGCCGGAGACTGAGTTTAGGGGAATTATGG